ACGGCATGCAGGATTAGGAGTACACCCCCCCCCTCCTCCTCCACGAACCTTGCGCCAAAGCTGCGGACGAACTCCGACGAGGAGCTCTTGAGCAGGTCTGTCCCCTCCTGGTGAAGCATGTCGCGATTCTTCTCCAGGAAACCCTCCGTGTGATACACGATGTTGCCCGCGTAGTGGTGGATCATGAACTTGTAGTCCACCTGGCAGCAAAACACAACATCATCGGCTTCTCTTAAACACACACGGACCTTGTATGTATCGGATCATGAACTTGTGGTCTAACTGGCACCAAAACACAACAACATCGAGCCTTTCGTAACGCACAAGCGTTTGATTTATCGGATCACGAGCTTGAACTCCCACCTGGCACCAAAACACAACAACATCGAACATTTTCGAACACGGCAACATTCGGTTTATCCATGGCAGCTTAGGCGACGAGTCTTTGTGCATCATTTAAATAGACGAATACCTTTCTAACGAATACTGCCGTATATTGCGTAGACTCTTGGCTGGCCATAACACTCCACCGTTCCGTCACTGACTGTCGGTGTCTAACACGCGACCCCCCTCCATCACGAGCGACGAAGCCGCCGGGGGCCCAGACCCAAACACTACATACCGACTGACACAAAAACACAGACAATGCACCGATCCATCCTCTTCTAAAACTAGTACAATCAAGCGTCGCTGCAAGCTCGCGTGCGAACGCGGACACCGAAGAAAGAGGGTGTCAATCTTGACACAAGGTCCTTTCTAATTAAATCAACAATTTTTCGGTTTTTTAGAGGCCAAGTCAAGTAACGCGTTCTTGGAAATACCTCCACGAGACGGCGCGCCGCCGTTTTTTTCGGCACATGAGCCACTGCTGTCTGCAGAGTAATCGCTGTAACGTACCTTGTCGGCGTGCGGCACGCTGAACGGCTTGTGCTGCGTGAGGCGGTTGTACATGTTGGACGCGAAGGACTTGTCGGTTCCTTTGGGCACGAGACACTGCTCGTCGAGGAGGGCCAGGATGCCCGCCGGCTTGGCTTCGATCAGGGTGATGCTGTTCGGGGGTTTGAAGACGAGGAGGAAGAAGGGAGCGATGATCAAAACAACAACAAGGGAGTGGTGATCAAAGCAATACAAGAAGGGAGCGATGATCAAAGCAATACAAGAAGGGAGCGATGATCAACACAACAAGAGGGAGCGACCGGGAATCGAAGCGGAAGAAGATGCCAGAGAGAATTGAAGAAGAAAAAAAAAATTCTACACAGGGGAGACCCGTGGGATGGGAAGGGGTACAGCTAGCCGTCTGCTGGAACAGCCACCTCTGCCGAGGAAGCCCGATGGCTCCAGTTCGCGCCTTCTATCCCGCTGCCGCTAAGACAAGGTCTTTCTTTTCGTTCGTTCGCACGGTTAACGCGGTCGATGCTACAAGAAACGAACACAAAACATACGCACAGACAGCGTGTTCGCGATTTTGTATCGCACTGTTCGAATGCCGACTCTCTTTATCGTTTGATAGCCGAAGCACACCACATGAACACAAAGAGACACAGACACGGGGGTGGGCGCACCAGTCCCTGTTACTGGCAAAATCGGCAGCTTACGAAAGAAGCAAACACATCCATCACCCACGAAGACTCAAAGCCACACGGGCAGACGCACCAGTCCTTGTTATCGGCAAAACTCGGCAGCTTACGAAAGAAGCAAACGCGTAACACACAGAGAGACTAAAAAAAAGCCACACGGGCGAACGCACCAGTCCTTGTTGTCGGGGAACTCGATGAAGTCCCACTTGATCCCCTCGCTGCGGTATTCCTCCTGCTCCACCTCGAACACGAACTGGTTGAACTGCTGCTGCAGCTTCTCGTTCGCGTAGTTGATCAAGAACTGCTCGAAGTAGTTGTGCTCGAACGACTCGAATCTGGAGGGTTGGAGTTTAAGAGGCATGGAGGTATTTAGTTACAAGATAATCATGAAAGTTGAGCACGGGGTCTAAACGAACACATCGTTCGCAATGACGTGTTAGCCATGCGTAACGTGTTCTCGCCATGCGTAGCGTGTTTTCGTTCATTTTATTATAGAAGTATTTGCGTGGTAATTGTTGGGGCGTCTGTCTGCTACGAGTTTCATTTTTACAGTCTTCGCATATGTAGAAACTGTTGGGTTGTACGCTGTTGGTAGTAACAAGAACCCCAAAGAAAAAAACAAACAACGTCAACAACAACCAAAAAGCAAAGAACGAGAAAAAACGAAACAAGAAAACGTCAACAACAAACTCACCCGAAGATATCGAGGAGACCAATGAACATATTCTTGTCAGGAACGGCATCGCCTGCCCCGCCGCCCCCGACGACGCTGTTGAAGGTCTTACCCCCCGCTGTCGTCGACACCGGCTTCGGAGACTGAGACTGGCCCCACGCGAAGCTGCTGCCGGGGCTGGAAGGGCTCGTCTCGTCGCGGTTCCTCCCCCTCTGCTTGTCGATCGTGTGGTTGATCTGTGGCGAAACGGCGGCAGCGGAAGATCGATGCCATTGGCACGGCGTGCAAGACGACAAGCAGAGGGTAGGTGAGAATACTTGACGAAAACCTGCGTAGTCGGCGCTGATGGGTTACCCCACCGGGGACTGTCTGCCTACGCAAAGAAGTAACTATATTACAGAAAAGGACCAGGCAGGGGACACTCAGACGGAAACAGACCGTAACCCCAACTTAGACGATTCAATGATCCATCCGCTATGATCGCGTACTTAGAAAAACCTGCATACTGTAGTGTAGACTACTGCTCACCGGGAAACAAACAAACAAACGCGCATCTCGGGTACAACCAAAAAAAAAAGATTTTTAAAACTGATGTCGCCTTATGAAACACTCGCCTTGGCGACGAGCCAGTCGAACAACCCCGAATAGATGGACTTGCACAACGCCTCCCTTAGGTGGTAGCACTTCTTCGCGTCCAGGTACACCGTGAACCACTCATGCCCCGCCTGTGCCGCGCGCGGCAAGAAGAAACAAAACGAAAAAAACGTGTTGTGAGCGCATCATGTTTTTGCGAGAATAAAAAAGAAAAATATGAAAAAACGAAACATGGAAGGCGGCAAAAGAAAGCCTGAAAGAATGTCGTCGGGCGAGAGACGAGAGACGAAAAGCATAGGAACAAAGGTCGAAACACATCATCACGTGTACGGCAGGTCTAAGACATACGGTAGCGCGCGCGAGGGGAAATGTCGGCCCAGCCTTCGTGCAGAATCCATCCCTTGTTTCGTCTCTGCCGTGTCCACAAAGCCGAGGTGGGCAAACGCGCCACAAAAGAGCAACACCAGCAACACCCGAGCAACACCAACATCACCAAAATAGTCACTGACGACAACGACAATTACCGTCAGAGGCAAAGAGATGGCACCCCGCTGCACCCATTTTCAAAGAAGTTCAATTGCTCCACAACCAAGATTGTCTGTACCGTGCCGTACTTGAACCGTGGTATGCCGTAAGAGGCGTAGAGATGGCACCCCGCTACACCCATTTTCAAAGAAGTTCAATTGCTCCACAACCAAGCTTGTGCCAACACGCTGCACCAACAACGGTGGTTTTGGAAACATGTCGAGGGCTTTCCGTTGACGTATCGGGCGCTTTCACAGCACCCACTGGGTTGTGGAGCAATCGAGCGTTCAAAGTCGGTATAAGGGGGGTGCCACTCCGCCGCTTACGATACAACAACAACAACAACAACAACAACAACAACAACAACAACAACGACAAGGACGACAACGACGGCAGCAAGAACAACAACAACAACAACAACAACAACAAACGCAACAACAAAAGCAACAATAACAACAACAGCACTCCGTGAGTGCCTCGTCTGGGCCCTCCCTCACCTTGATACGGCGGAAAGACATGGCGTTGACCAGCGTTACCGGATCCACGCCAAGCAGCTCGGCAGCGCGCCTTGCGCCACGCAAAGAGGCCAGACAGGGATGGGCGACGGATTACCACGAATAAATAACACACACAAACCCGAGTACACTCATTTACGTAATCTCACGTTCGAATGCGTAAGCTGTGTCTGAGGAAGATAGCCAAACACTCTATTAATAGTGGAGACGGGTAAAACTAAAAAAAAAAAAATAGCAAAAGCAAGGAATGCGAACACAAAAGTAGACTGGTAAAAACACAACAGCCGACGCGTAAAACTAGACAACTACAATAATAACAAAAATAAATAAATAAATAAGCATGGGAATACGAACACAGCCGCAGACGGGTACAAAATACAGCGCGAAAAATTTTTGTTGTACAATAAAAAAAAAACTTTACCTGGCATATTCCTTAGCGTCCGCCTGCTCGTCCAAGACCCCCACCACTTCCGTGGTCTTATCGTTGTCAAGCACATCCCGGAACTTGACGTTGCCGCAGTTCAGTACCCCCGCCACGGCCTTGAACACCTGCGACATGTCCTCGTCGCTAACGTCCATCACCTGCGAAAGATTTCGATTTGGTGCGTGAGTTTGATACGGCGTATGTGTGAATGCCACCTCAGACTGTCGTAGGTTGTGACGTCAGATGACCTGTCGGAGATCTACCTTCGGCGTGTTGTCACAGATACAGTCAGTGTATGATGGACGCTGAACCCTGCTGCAACAGGGAAGCTACCCCCCTGACTCACAACACAACTACCCGTACTCTTCTGCCTCTTCACAAGAGGTTAAACCGGTGTGTGTCCACACCACACATCAGTTTCATACGGAGTATGTGTCTGTATTGTGTTGTACTAAATAACATCGACCGCGGTAACCAGTGACCAACAAAAAGACGTGCGGTTAAAAACAGAAAATGCTTCGAAAGGCCATGATCTGGGACCCCGCGAGGCATTTGCGTTCCTGGTTGGCGGTATTTGCTCAAGTTGTATGTTTCTTTTAGCAGTTTTCCCGCATGTTTTTGTGACAGCACAGCAAGCAATGCGAATCATTGCCCAGCGACGAGCCCCCCGATATCCTGTCCCCTATCCCCGCATCACGCCTCCGTATCATCGACCGACAGCCGACCGCCTTCCTTTTGTTCGCCCCACGTTTTCTGAGCGCAAGTCTGCATCTACTTTCCGGCCCATGTTTGACGCACCAGCCGGGAAAACGCAAGAGGAGGAGCCCAACTAAGCGTCTGAACACTCCTGCGGTGCTTCCTTGAGTTGTTGAATTACCGCAAGAAGGGTGCAGTAGTCCCTTTCCTTCCCTCGTTGCGTTGCGTTCGTACTCCCCACTTTGTTTTTTCCACTGCTGCGAAACTGTGAGTTATTTTCATACTCCCGAGAGAAATTCAAACCCTGTGAGCCAAGAGCTACAAGGTTGCCAACTAGATAAGACCATCACCCACTTTGTCTGCTGTAGTACTGCGCTACATCTGTAGTTGCCCAATATGTCCTCCCCAAAACCAAAACATAAAAAAAAATGCACCTATAATGTAAATAAAAAAGAAAATCGTACACACAACACACCAATATTCACGTCCTCCTCAAAACCAAAACCCAACATCAAAAAGCAGAAAAAAAAACAAATTACGGAACACAATAACCAATACCTTCATAGCCTTGTTAAGCTCCGTCCAAAGGTCCGAGTCCATCACGCCGTCTCTCCGTTCGTAGCAGCTGCTCTGGTTGATGTAGTGGTACACCCGCGGGTCCGGCTGCAGGTGGAGGGCCGCCCTCTGCTCGTCGCTCGTGCCGGCCAGCATGAGGTAGAAGATGTGGAAGTTGCGCTCCCCCTCCGAGGTGTGCACCAGCCGGATCTTCTCCAGCAGGAACGTTCTGCGGAACGGACCGGATCGCGGACGGATTAGAAAAAAACGAGCCAAGAGAGAAGAACGAAAACCACAAGAGATAGAGAGAGAGAGGCAAGTGTGTGTGGCGTGTTTTCGTCCTATTTATTACGGCGACAGTTCCCCCATTTTTCGTGGTGAGACGTGTACTACCCTCTTCGAGGAAATGGGAAGTGTGAAGCTTGGGTCGTGTACGAAATAGGGTGAAGAAAGGCATGCATATGCCATCGGCACGGGTGCCGCGGCCCGCACTTCCGTCGCGGCAAAGAGACTTAAACCGCCGCCCCGCCGGCTGCGCTTTTCTACAACCTTGTTGGGGTGTCTTCATAGCGCAAGGGAATTTTTCGTTGCAGGCTTGGCAAGCACACCAACACCGTTGGCGATCCTAGGGGAAATCCAAGCGTGGGCAGGCCGAGAGGGGAATGAGGGCTCCGCGCGAGCGTGTGGATCTTGCAAACTTTCGTCTGGGTGTCAAGGTGCGCTCACCACGCTCTTACGAGCGCACGGTATGAACAACACCAGGAACGCGAAAGGCCGCACATCGAAAAGAGCGGGGTTCGGGGTTGTCACACGTACCGACACACGCCTGGCGCTGGTTATACACACACGTGCACACAGTAGCCTTCGCAGGGATTTTCTATTAAGTAAACATGTTGGAAAAAGCCACAATCGGGGATGTCGGGTTAGGGTTGGGTTAGGAATTGGGTCTGCGTCCCCCCTCCCTGTTCTATTTCCTCATAACCTATTAATCTCGCAAAGGTGGTCCCACGCAACCCCCCCCCCGGCCCTCTCTACCACTTGTGTCGTTATTCCGCCCTCCTGGTGTTCTCCATGTCAAACGGGATGCGTCCCTGAATTGATTGGTCCCAACGCCCTTAAAGATACGGCCCCGCCTTTCCCCCCTTGTCTCCCGATGGAACTCGGTCG